TCATTTGCGTAACTTTGTTTTTCATATTTTGTCTTTTATCTTGCTCTCAATACTTTTAATCACAGCCCTCCCCCCTACCCCGTTGTCTCTCCCCCACTCTCTGCACTCTCCTCCACCCTCTTTCTCTCCCTTTTTTCCCTCTCTCCCCCTCTCTCCCCCCTCCCCTAGCCCTAACCCTACCCCCCCCCCCCCCCCCCCCACACAGTATAATGGATGTGTCCAGTTGCGTTCACTATCAGTGGAGTTATCTGAGGCTGAGTGCTTCGTGATGAATGTTTGGAGCTGAGTCTCCACCGATCGATACTCCACCAGCGGACGCGCCTCCTCTCCCTCCCCCTCTCTCCTTCTGCTCCTCCCTCTCTCCAGCTTTCCATGTCTCCTCTCTCCCCTTTAATACACCTCAGTCTCAAGCTCTTCATCCTCTCCTTCTTCTCCTCCACCTGCTCACTCTTCTTTCCTTCTCCTCTCTCTCCTCTCTCCTCCTTTTTGTGATGTCTCCTATCTCCTCTATCCCTCCTCTATCTCTTACCTCTGCTCCTTCCCCCATCTCCCAATCTGCTCCCTCTCTATCTCTCCATCTCTCCACCTCACCTCCCTCCCCCGTCTCTCAATCTCTCCATACCTCCCACCCCTAATATTCCTTCAATGTCTCCTCCACCTCCTCCACCTCCTCCACTCCCAACACCACTCTCATCCCTCCACTCTCCTCCTCCTCCCTCTGCATCTCTCCATCATAATCCCCCTGTAGCACCTCAGTGTTTGTGAACTTTTCCCTCCATTTCTCGAGTACATTGATCTTTCATCCTTGGATTGTTTTAAATACAAGGCCAGTTTCACCTCTCCGCCCAAGCGTGAGAGTCTGACAGCAGCGACGAGCGCACGCACACACACACACACACACACACACACACACACACACACACGAGCACACACACACACACACACGAGCACATACACACACACGAGCGCACACACACACGAGCGCACGCACACACGCACACACACACGAGCGCGCACACACACACACACGAGCGCGCACACACACACACACACACACACACACACGAGCACACACACACACACGAGCACATACACACACACGAGCGCACGCACACACACACACGAGCACACACACACGAGCGACGACGCACACGCACACACACACACACACACGAGCGAGCACACACACACACGAGCGCGCACACACACACACACACACGAGCGCGCACACACACACACACACGAGCACATACACACACACACACACACACACACACGAGCACACACACACACGAGCACATACACACACACGAGCGCACGCACACACATACACACACACACGAGCACGCACACACACACGAGCGCACGCACACACACACACACGAGCGCGCACACACACACGAGCACACACACACACACGAGCACAGCACACACACACACACGAGCACACACACACACACACACACGAGCACACACACACACAGCACACACACACACACACGACACACACACACACGAGCACACACACACACACAGACACACACACAGCACACACACACACACGAGCACATACACACACACACGAGCGCGCGCACACACACGAGCGCACACACACGAGCACACACACACACACACACACACACACGAGCGCGCACACACACGAGCACACACACACACACACGAGCACGCACACACACGCACACACGCACGCACACACACACACGAGCACACACACACACGAGCGCGCACACACACACGAGCACACACACACACGAGCGCGCACACACACACACACACACACGAGCGTGCACACACATGAGCACGCACACACACACACACAAGCGCACACACACACACACGAGCACACACACAAACACAAGCACGCACACACACACGGGCACGAGCACGCAGGCACACACACGAGCACGCACACACACACACACACACACGAGCACATACACACACACGAGCACATACACACACACACGAGTACGAACACACACACATGAGCGCGCACACACACACGAGCACGCACGCATACACACACACGAGCACGCACGCACACACACACAAGCATACACAAACACACAAGCATACACGAGCACACACACACAAGCGCACACACAAGTGCGCACACACACACACGAGCACACACACATGAGCACACACACACACGAGCACACACACATGAGCACACACAAATGTTATTTAGGCTGATGGAAGGGGGTAATCTGAGACTCACCATTCACACACATACACACACACACACACATATATGTGCGCGCGTATACACACACACGCGCACACACAGACACACACACACACACACACTGTGTGCTCAGGACATCCCCACATTACAAACAGGAGATGTTCTGGGCTGAAGGATGGAGGCTCAGATCTAATTGTGTGACCGGTGACAGACGGATCACATTTGTTCCAAAAATGAAGATTCAGAGTCACATTAACGTGAAGCATTCACCAGACAATTGAATCATGAAATCCTAAACTAATGAGCACATGTGTTTCAGATTCATATGGATAGAAACTACATTGTATTCACTATGGTTTTTCAATTCTTTCTTTCTTTTAACATTTATTATGCATCACTTCTGTTGCTCTCTGTTTCTTTCTCTCTTTGTCTATTTGTGTGTGTCTCTCCCATTTCTTTCTCTGTATTTCTCTCTTTCACTTTTTGTGTCAGACTCTCTCTCTCCCTCCTCCCTCCTCCCTCTCTCCCTCTTCCCTTGTTCCTCCCTGTCTGAGCTCAGATCAGGCGCTCACAGGTGCTGTGCTTTAGTTGTTGTACCTGTACAGTTTTGATCTGGTGTCTGTGTTCTTGCTCTGTGTCGCGCTGGGCTTGTGAGAGATTTGTGATGAAAGAAAAGAACGTGTGTCTTCTCCGGTGGGACTGAAGCTGCCGCTCTCCCCTGTCTCTCTCTCTCCTCCTGCCTCTCTCCTCTCTGATCTGGCCCTGCTCGTCTGTACTACTCCACCTGTTGGCTCGGTGGAGACACAGATGGAGGTGAACTTTTGTGACTCCCATCTCATCGACCGCTGCTTTAGCTTTAAACTACCTTGATGTGATACAGCCCCAGAGACGAACACACAGCTAAATGATCTGATTTCAGACATGGATCTTGCTCCACCTCTGTCCGTATGTGTCAAGGCTCTGTGGCAGCTCCTGTCTCTGTTTTGTCAGCTCTTAAAGCAGACCTGTTGTGTAAAATGGACTTTTCTGAGCCCTTAACCATGTTATAGTTGTTTCTCTTCTCATTGAGCCTCTGAAGTTGTATTTGGAGGGATTTGTGTGTGTCTTTAACTGCTTATTTTTGAGACTCCATTTTGCTGATCAGCCCTTGTTTTGAGCTCCACCAGTACACTCCTGCTGTGACGTGTGCACTTCCAGCTCCAGTTAGATTTTTCTGAATCAGTGATATGTTGTCAGAGCCAGTTTTTATTGATTTAAGAAATTATTCATTTGATAAATATGTATTATTAAAATGTAACTAACTTTTCGTTATTAAATTTGGGCGTTCAGTGTCATCCTGATCTTTCCTCTCCTCCTCCTGCAGTCAGGTTTCTGTGCCTCCTGTAGCAGCAGGGCGGGGGAAGCAGCACCAAGAGAGGAGGAGAGAAACTATTTTGTGACCACTGAAAATCTTTTGAAAGTTATCAAGGAGAACGTATTTTTTGTTCTTTAAAAATAAATTGATAAAGGCAAATACTGGATCTCCCCATGGGCTTATTTTCATTATGTGAGTTACAAACTTCCTCAAGCAAAAGGGCACATCCACATACAGTATGTGTGGGATTCTGCAGCGTCGTGGATTCATTCTGATGTCTATAGGAGGTGTTGATTCTTTGCTGTGACGGCGTTTACAGTGATGTCAGCTCCCACTGGACATCGCAGTTGGCAGCACAGACCTGTTTCTTTTATTGGGTTGTTTTGATCAATATTGTGATTTATTATTATTACTAATTTTTGATTGTAACAGACATAAGCAGTAGGTCTTCAGTTATAGTGCAACAGGTGCTACTTGTTGTGTTATTGCTCTGTCTGGTATATTTCACATTATTAAAATTAAAGCTTTTTTTTTATTTATTTACAAGTGTAAAAAATGTTTTTTATTGCTTTAAAATGTCTTGTAAACATGCATTCCTACTGTGATTGGAGTCTCCTCGCTGCAGATCTGACCAGTAATTTGGCTTTTTGTTTTTTTTTATGTTGGAAATATTTGTATATGGCAATTTTAAAGGAGTCTTGCATTTTTTGAATAATGGCAGCATAAGTACAGAGCTGTGGGCGGGGATAGGAGGTGGGTGAAAATGGCAATTTTCTGAGCATTGAAACCTCAAATACACCCAATATATTCCATTTAAAGCTCTGTGATTTCTCAGTATTTTGAAAGAATACAAAATCCAACGAGCAGTTCTCCTCAGAGCTAACCCCACGAGACCTCTCCGTGTCTGGGCTGAACCGTCTCCGTCCGTGTGCTCCATCAGATCTGTCCAAAGTGTCCCTCCATTACATTAGTTTATCTGTAATCTCAGGCTTTCCCTCATGGGCTGTGTTTGTGCAAATGCAGTAGTGATGCTCCTAATCTCATCCTCTCCCTCCCCCATCTCTCACTACTCATCCTCTTCCCTCCTCCCTCACTTTCTTACTACTCCCATGGCCTTCTCAATCTGTCCATCCGTCTCCTCTTTCTTCTCTATCTGATTCTCCTGTCTCTCTCTCTCACCGCTTCTCTGTAAATTGCTCATTTTAAATCAGTGGTTCGTGGCATCAAAATCGATATGTAGAATTGAGCATTTTTACTACTGAAATCAAGGTGGACATTTTTATTCAATTGTGTGTTTTTGTAGAACCCAAAATCACACCAGCAGCCGCCTCCCCTGGTTTCTTCATTTCACTATGGGGACAGTCTTCCAGATGCAATAAAGGTGTGTGTAAAAATGAAGTTGTAAAAATAACCCATGTTTTTCTCTCCTGTGTGCAGATCTTGTCGGTGGTGTGGCTGATCGGAGGAGAGTCGTCTGAGCTCCACCTCTGAGCTCCACCTCCAGCCTCGGCCTGTGAGTCTCACCTGGACACTGTTAGCTCGGTGTCAATGATTTCTATGTTAAACACTTTTGACTTTACACAAACACACACTGTGCTCGTGGAAGTGTGACTGTGATGGAAGACAGTTTTGCAGAGGTGTTGTGGTGTTTTCTGTCTTGTGTTATGGATGGATCAGTATTGACATGGCCAGTGGAATCTGATCATTGTCATGTATGTTTGTGTGTGTGTGTTTGTGTGTGTGTGTGTGTGTGTGTTTGTATGCATCTTCATCTGGAGTGGGATCACATTGGTCATGATACCTAAATTTAAAGAGTGGTATATTGCTGAAGTAAATATAGATAAGTGATGATACTGAAGTTATACCACTGACATAATAACACTAAAGCAGGATTATCTAAAAAAAAAAACAACAACAACAACAACAAAAAAACTATTCTAAATGTACAGATTGAAACACAGTAGTAGTAGTAGTAGTTTAAACAGTATATTATGAGTCATAGAAGTTTTTATTCAGCCCTTTACAGTTCAGATCTTATCACAGTAACAAAATATAACTAACAGTTCCCCACAAGAGTATAAGAAAAAGTCCTCACGATAAGTACTAACCCCCAAAAATGACTGTTCAAAGTATGATTATAGAGAGTAGAGTATGTAGTAGGGCCTGACCGATATGGATTTTGTTGTGCCCAATATGATACTGATATAATGGGAGTTGGAGCTGCCGATAGCCGATATAATCACCGATATATTTAGTGATGTAAAAATTCACTGTAAATCTTGAATTGTTTAAAAAAACTTAGGTTTGGCTCTAGTGGATTTTAAATTGCATTTATTTAAGCAACATTTATTGTTATTCTGACTCTTTACGTCATATTTACAGACAGTAGGTTGGCCTAATGGCATTTTTGCATCACATTCTAGTTGCTAGTCATGGGTATTCCAGCTCTTTTTAGAGAACCGGCTCTTTTGGCTCGGCTCATTAAAAGCAGCTGGCTCTTTCAGCTCCTAAGCGGCTCTTCAGATTGTTTCGTTGCAAACAGGACTAAACAAGAACTGAACTAGGACTGAGTGTCAGGACTCGGTCTCTGTCTCTCTCTGTCTCTCTCCGTCTCTCTCCGTCTCTCTCCGTCTCTCTCCGTCTCTCTCCGTCTCTCGAGCCCAAAATTAGTCCTGGTTTATTTATTTTATGCTGAACTGCAGACAAACATGCATGTTTTTTCTCTCCTATGCAAACGCAAATTTCTGAAAGTTTCGTTTTCAGCTGCTGCCGCTGTCAAACTACCACGAGTCTGAACGTGACGTGAAGAGAAAAATGTGAGCGTAAGAGAAAACATGGCTCCCGATAAGGATCAGGCTCCCGTCGTTTGCTTCAAAGAGCTGGCTCTAAGAGCCGTTTCGTTCCAGACCGACCCATCACTACTAGCTAGTAAAGAAACTAGCGCTGTTAGCCTTTAGTCGTAAATGCTGCGCACCGCGGTAATTAATTAAATGCGCAAATGTCATAATTCACACGTCTATTCACAGCTCATTTACATATCAATGCATGTCTGGTAACAAATATGCGGCCAATACAGTCACTTTACAATAGACCAATAGAAAACAGCCTGTTTATGTGTGGGAGCTACAGCAGCTAATCGCTAACCAATGCGAAATAACCAAAACTAGCTTCAAAGTCGACATATTTCCAACACTCAGCGCTCACACAGGCTCCTCCTCACATCACAAGTCTGCATTAATAAATGTCCTTTTAATCCAGACTCAAACCGATTGTCCGAATAATGTTTGGATCTGTGTCTGCGGGTGTAGACAAAACACACATGAGTGACGTGACTCTGTGGTGTGTTCAGGGACAGTACAGACACACACACAGACAAATGACTCTGCAGATAAATACTGATGTGGAGCCACATATTTGGACATTTATCTGTCTGTAAATTGGATTAAATGAACAGAATGTAGAGAGTCTAAGATTTATAACGAGGTATAACATGCCCACGTAAAATATCGGCCCATATCAGCAAGTATATCGGCCGATATGTCTCCAGGTGCCCATATAAGCCGATAATATCGGCCAACCAATATATCGGTCAGGCACTAGTATATAGTATATACACTCCCTGACAAAAGTCTTGCTTATAACCTGACTTTAAATTAATCGATTAGTTTTAGAAATGTCTCATATGAAAGCTAAAACCCTCCCAAATTATGCTCAATATACTAAATTAAATTGCCTCACTGAAGAAAGATTGATCATTTAATGAACACAAAAAGGTCAGATTTTGGCAAGACAAAAGTCTTGTCGTCTTGTCATATGATGCACCCAATCCTAGATTACAGCCTCACCTGTGATCAGTTACTGATCAATCAATTAGTGGGTGTGTATAAAAAGAACCTCCACCCTGAGACCAAAGTGTTAATTATCAAGAGGCTGAAGACCAGATCCACTGCTGAGGTGGTGACACCTTCAGTGTGTCTCAGCGTCAAGTACTAAGAAAAAGATCTGAAATGACTGGAGATGTTTTTGACAAGCCCAGGTCCAGCAGACCCCGCAAGACAACTGCTCAGGAGGACCGTTTGTTGATTCGAAAATCCAAGGCCAGCCCCTTTTCCACTGCAGCAGACTCCACCAGGCCTGGTCACCTCAAGTCCCTGTGTCAACCACAACAGTTTGTAGAATTCTGTCTCGAAATGGCCTCCATGGTCGAATCAGTGCACAGAAACCAGCACTAAACAAAAGGCAATTAAAAAAACGTGTGACATTTGCCAAGGCCCACAGCCTGCTAAAAGGATGGACACTGGAAAAGTGGCAGAAGGTGGATTCACCCAGACAATAGTCAAGTTTGGTGGCAGAAAAATCATGGTCTGGGGTTCCATCCAGTATGGGGGTGTGCGAGACATTTGCAGGGTGGAAGGCAAATATCAATAGCCTAAAATATCAAGAAGTATTAGCTCCTCTTACATTCCCAACCATAAAAGGGGTCAAATTTTGCAGCAGGATGGTGCTCCGTCACATACTTGTATCTCTACATCAAAGTTTCTCAAGGTGAAGAAGATCAAGGTGCTCCAGGACTGGCCAGCCCAGTCACCAGACATGAACATCATTGAGCATGTCTGGGGTAGAATGAAAGAGGAAGCATGGAAGGCAAAACCAAAGAATCTTGATGAACTCTGGGAGGCATGTAAGACGCTTTCTTTGCTATTCCTGATGACTTCATCAACAAACTGTATGAATCATTGTTGAACCGCATGGATGTGTCCTTCAAGCTCATGGAAGTCATACAAGATATTAAATATGGATCTCACAGCACCACTACTTCATTCACTGATGTTATGCAACACATTTTTGTATTTGAAATAAATTATTTGTTCAATTTTCTGTAGGCGACAAAACTTTTGTCTTGCCAAAATATGACATTTCTGTGTTCATTAAATGATCAATCTTTCTTCAGTGAAGCAAATTTATTTTAGTATATTGAGCATCATTTGGGAGGGTTTTAGCTTTCATATGAGACATTTCTAAAACCAATGGATTAATTTAAAGTCAGGTTATAAGCTTTTGTTTCTACAAAATGGATAAGCGACAAGACTTTTGTCAGGGACTGTAGTGATTATGGTAACAGAGGCAGGATTATACTTGCACATTATATTCATCAGAATATAAAGAGAAATCAGATCACGATGGATTATTAGTGTACGTGTAAACATGCTGCTTATTATCCTGCTGTTTATTATTTTGGGAAACCTCTGTATGCTTGTACAATATTATGTATTATGTATTATATATATATATATATATATATATATATATATATATATATATATATATATATATATATATATATATATATATATATATATATATATATATGTATATATATATATATATATATATATATATATATATATACTGTATGTATATATACTGTATGTAAATATATAGTGATATTCTTGGTACTGGGAGCCATGCAGTGTGTGTTGTGTTGAATTGTCTGTCCCCTGCTCTGTTTGTGCCTCTTTGCTCCAGGGGAGAAGTACCTGACTGTTTTCAGTCCTGTGTTTGTTGTTCATCGTTGACAGTGGAAGTAGTAATGGTAGTAGAAGTAAAGTAGTGTTAAAAGCAGCACTATAATGGTACCATGGTAGAAACGGTAATTGCAGTAGGAGGAGGAGAAATCCCAGAACACTATTTGTGGTATCTCCACTTATGCTCGATGTGCTGTAATTGCTGAATGGTAATAGCAGCATTTTGTCCTTTTGTTTGGTTATTGTATAAACACAGTATTGGTAGTGTTAGTAATATTTTTTGGCAGGGCTGGTAGTTGTAGTAACAGTGGTACTCTCAGTTGGCCTAATGTATTCCACAAAATAGTGCTGTTAAAATGGCGGATTCTGTTTGTTCCTAAAAGCTAATAGATAAATAAATCCACTCTTAAATAAGTCACAAATGTGTTTCTTCCCTGCTATCATTTGCGCTCAGGTTGCTTTATTCAAACACACATTTCACTCTCTCTTTATTTTCTCGGCTGCAGTTTCATCCCCCACGCAGCTCTGCTTTTGCTCTCCTTGCACTCTGCCTCTTCATTTGCCACAGTGGGTTTCAGCAATTACCCAGCTCCCCTATTGGCCCAGATCCAATGCCAAAAACTCCAAAAACAACCATTTCCAGCCACTTCTTTCTCCCACAATGCTCGCGCAGTCCCTGGAAGGTGTGGTGTAGAGCGCCTGCAGAGAGTGACCAGTGGGGGGCGCTGTGGGGGACCTGGCTTGGGGTGGCTCTGATTGGTCCAGACTCCAGTATCTGGTCATTAAAGCAGGTCCAGGTTTGTGGTTTGGCTGTCATAAGCAGACCAGGGGACAGTTGAGCAGACAGAGGGTGGACTATAGTGTGTGTTAGAGATACAGGACATGACATGGATGATGTTTTACAAAAGTCGACTTGGGTGAATCTGTTACTTGTGTTCTATTTTCTGTTAGAATGTTGTTTTTTTTATCACAAACAGACCTGGAGTTG